CCCAGCCCGAACTGGCTACATGGGTTCGTCTACCAGTAGGCCCACCACCTGCAGGAAGAGTCAGCGGGATCCGGTGCATCGTGGGTTGGGCAGCAGACCAAGGCGGGGGCCTTGGCGGTCCGATCCTCGGTTACGGAAACTGGTTTTTGGAACATGGAACGTCACCTCTCTGGCGGGGAAGGAGCGGGAGCTTGTGGAAGAGGTTGAGCGATACCGGCTAAATATAGTCGGCCTCACCTCGACACATAGCGTTGGCTCCAGAACCCAAGTCCTTGAGAGGGGCTGGGCTTTCCTCTTTGCTGGAGTTGCTCCGGGGGAGAGGCGGAGGGCCGGGGCAGGCTTTTTGGTCGCCCCCAGGCTCTCTGCCTGTATGTTGGGGTTTACCCCGGTGGACGAAAGGGTTGCGTCCCTGCGCCTCCGGGTCGGGGATCGGGTTCTGACTGTTGTCGGTGCTTATGCACCTAACAGCAGTTCAGACTACCCGCCCTTTTTGGAGTCCTTGGGACGGGTGCTGGAAAGTGCCCTGAAAGGGGACTCCATTGTCCTTATTGGGAGACTTCAACGCATCACTGGGCAATTGACAGCTTTACTGGAGGGGTGTGGTGGGGAGGAACGGCCTGCCCGATCTGAACCCGATTGGTGTTCAGTTATTGGACTTCTGTGCTAGTCACAGCTTGGCCATAACTAACACCATGTTCAAGCATAAGGATGTCCACAGGTGCACATGGCACCAGGTCACCCTAGGTCGCCGGTCTATGATCGACTTTGTAGTCATATCATCAGATCTGCGGCCGTATGTTTTGGACACTTGGGTAAAGAGAGGAGCAGAGTTGTCAACTGACCACCACCTGGTGGTGAGTTGGATGAGATGGCGGGGGAAGACGCTGCACAGACCTGGCAGGCCCAAACGGGTTGTGAGGGTCTGCTGGGAAAGCCTGGCGGAAGAACCCGTCAAGATGATTTTCAACTCACGCCTCCGGCAGAGTTTTGATCACGTCCCGAGAGCGGTGGGGGACATTGAGTCCGAATGGGCCTTGTTCCGCTCTGCTGTTGTTGAGGTGGCTGTTGCGAGCTGCGGCCGCAGGGTAGCTTGGGCCAGTCGTGGCGGTAACCCCCGTACCTGCTGGTGGACACCAGAGGTGGGGGAAGCCGTCCGGCTGAAGGAGGAGGCCTACAGGGCGTGGTTGACCTGTGGGTCTCTGGAATCAGCTGACTGGTACCGGCGGGCCAAGCGGAGTGCAGCCGCGGCAGTTGCTGAGGCAAAAACTCGGGCGTGGGAGGAGTTCGGTGAGACTATGGAAGAAGACTATCGATCGGCTCCAAAGAGGTTCTGGCAAACCGTCCGGCGCCTCAGGGGGGGAAGGCGGCAACTCGCTCACACTGTTTACAGTGGGGGCGGGGAGCTGCTGACGTCAACTGGGGATATAGTCGGACGGTGGAAGGAATACTTTGAGGAGCTCCTCAATCCCACCAACACGTATTCCGTGGAGGAAACAGAGCCAAGGGACCTGGGGATGGATGATCTAATCTCCGGGGCAGAAGTCGCCGAAGTAGTGAAACAACTGTGCGGTGGCAGAGCCCCGGGGGTTGATGAGATCCGCCCTGGGTATCTCAAGGCTCTGGATGTTGTAGGGCTGTCTTGGTTGACACGCCTCTGCAACATTGCGTGGACATCGGGGGCAGTGCCTCTGGAGTGGCAAACCGGGGTGGTGGTCCCCATCTTTAAGAAGGGTGACCAGAGGGTGTGTTCCAACTACCGGGGAATTACACTCCTCAGCCTCCCTGGTAAGGTCTATGCCAGGGTACTGGAAAAGAGGGTCCGGTCGATAGTTGAACCTCAGATCGAGGAGGAGCAATGTGGTTTTCGTCCTGGGCGTGGAACTGTGGACCAGCTCTTTACCCTCGCTAGGGTGCTGGAGGGAGCATGGGAGTTTGCCAATCCAGTCCACATGTGTTTTGTGGATTTGGAGAAGGCTTACGACCGTGTTCCCAGGGGCTCCCTGTGGGGGGCACTCCGGGAGTATGGGGTGGATGGCCCCTTGTTAGTGGCCATTAAATCCCTGTACCAAAGGAGTGTGAGTCTGGTCCGCGTAGCCGGCAGTAAGTCGGACCTGTTCCCGGTGAGGGTTGGACTCCGCCAGGGCTGCCCTTTGTCACCGGTTCTGTTCATAACTTTTATGGACAGAATTTCTAGGCGCAGCCGGGTGGTGGAGGGGTTTGGGTTCAGTGGCGGGAGGATCTCGTCTGCTTTTTGCGGATGATGTGGTCCTCTTAGTTTCATCGAGCGCCGACCTTCAGCTCTCGCTAGGGCGGTTCGCAGCCGAGTGTGAAGCGGCTGGGATGAAGATCAGCACCTCCAAGTCTGAGGCCATGGTTCTCAGCCGGAAATGGGTGGATTGCCCGCTCCGGGTCGGGGGGGAGGCTCTGCCTCAGGTGGAGGAGTTTAAGTATCTCGGGATCCTGTTCACGAGTAAGGGTAGGATGGAGCGGGAGATCGACAGGCGGATTGGGGCGGCGTCAGCAGTGATGCGGACGCTGAATCGGTCCGTTGTGGGGAAGAGGGAGCTAAGCCGGAAGGCGAAGCTCTCGATTTTCCGGTCGATCTACGTTCCAACCCTCACCTATGGTCATGAGCTTTGGGTAATGACCGAAAGAACGAGGTCGCGAATACAAGTGGCCGAAATGAGTTTCCTCCGCAGGGTGGCCGGAACTTGGAGTAGAACCGCTGCTCCTCCATGTCGAGAGGGGCCAGTTGAGGTGGTTCGGGCATCTGGTGAGGATGCCTCCTGGACGCTGTAGGAGAATTATAAGGCCGAAGATGGCATTGTGTGGGAACAATAACAAAAGATATGTTCAGGCAGTCAACCAAGCAGGTTAAGACATTTAGGTTTGGTGGGAAACATCTGGAAAATAGGAGATTAGGTAACTAGGAATAGATACGAGCCAAGGCACACAGCCAATAAGAGAAAACAGTGACCTGGGAAAGCGTCATGGTGTTCTGCCAGAAAAGACCATGACCTGGGTGTACGCCAGGAATAACAGAATGCAGGAATTGGTCAACAGTTGGGCAAGAGTAGTACTACAAAGCCAAAATGATTGGGAAAAACAGGATGCACATACACACACATGGCCACTTGAGATATAAAAGGACGTGTTACGATTTGTGTTGTTGGTTGTTGTCTCCGTCTATGTCTGCAAGTGGGCCGCATTGAATAAAGAGAGACTCCCCGCCTTGATACCTGTGTCTCGACTGTCTGATTCCTTTTTTGATCCACCACTTCTCGCCACAACAACGCCTCCCCGGGGAGGTGTTTCGGGCATGTCCCAACGGGAGGAGGCCTCGGGGCCGACCAAGGACACGCTGGAGGGATTATATCTCTCGGCTGGCCTTGGAACGCCTCGGGATTCTCCCGGAGGAGCTGGAGGTGGAAGTGGCTGGGGAGAGGGCCGTCTGGACCTCTTTGCTGAGGCTGCTGCCCCCGCGACCCGGATCCGGAGACGACGAGTACGAGTACGAGTACGAGTACGAGTACAAGTACGAGTCTCTGTGTGTTGATGAACATCTGATCCGTTCCTCACATATCACCTGACAGATAAACATGGAGGCTGTCACTGAAAACATCTGGCAGAGGGACAGATATACAGATGTGCTCACTGGACTTCAGCAGAGCTTCTGGTCTGTATAAAGACATCAACTCAACAACAACAGTCGTCTTCACATCCACTCAGACACATGATCACAACGAGCCTCTGGCTGCTCTGATTGGCCGACTGTTCTCTCTCTCTGTCTTTCTGTCCAATCCTGACGCCTGTCACCGTTCTCCTCTCACAGCTTCACTGAGGGAAGCAGCTACTGAGAAGGTCGGAGGTTTACAGGAAACACTGGCTCTTTGCTCCGACACTGTGTTTAGTACAATACTGATGGAAGCAGCAAGGACTGACTCCGCCCCTTTTACTGACCTCAGAGTCTCCAGTCGACAGTCTGGACTCTCCTTAAGATCACACAGCTGCTTCACATCTGGATCCTGCAGCTTGTTGTCACTCAGGTCCAGGTGTTTCAGGTGGGAGGGGTTGGACTTCAGAGCTGGGGCCAGAGAAGAACAGCTGATCTCTGACAAACTGCAGTCCCTCAATCTGAATAAAATGAGAAATACCAGTGTGTGAGTTCTGAGGGTTGAACTGAAGTGAACAGACATTATTCATGACAACTGAGTGAAATGAGCTGAAACTGAAGAATCATTGTGAGAGAAGAACAACTGGAAACATGAGACAACCACTATTTAAAATCTCAGTCATGACTTCATTCAAAATCATTCAAGTTCTGTGTGAAGATAAATCAGCTTCAGTTGTGGATTAAAGATATAAGATCTACAACAGTAACAGTCAGTGAACTGACCCCAGAGTCTCCAGTCTACAGTCTGGACTCTCCAGAAAACCACACAGACCCTTCACTCCTGAATCCTGCAGCTTGTTGTAGCTCAGGTCCAGGTGTTTCAGGTGGGAGGGGTTGGACTTCAGAGCTGAGGCCAGAGAAGAACAGCTGATCTCTGACAAACTGCAGCTCTTCAATCTGAATAAAGAATAAAGATGTGAGTTCAGAGACAAAGTTCCTTCTTGGAAGCGTTCAGTGTTTCATCATCTGTTCAGAGCTGAAGAAGCTTTAGAAAGTAGAAGTTTAGAAAATGAAAGTCAAACACCTGAACCAACAGGAAGCAGGTTAAAAACAGTCACATACAAAGAGTGAAAACAGCTTCATTAATATCAATGACAACATGCTGCTGCTTCAATACAGACGTAGTGACTCCACCTCTTAAACTCTAGCAGCTCCACCTGTGGCTCCATCTGTACAAACTCATGTTGAGCAGCCACATTTATTAGAGCTTCTACTTTCACTGAGCTCTTTCTGACTCAAACAGCTGATCTGCAGCGTGATACACTGAGGGTCATAGGTCAGCTTGTGCATACAGAGAGAAATCCTGAAAATACAGTTCACAAAACTACAACAGTCAGTGAACTCACCCCAGAGTCTCCAGTCTACAGTTTGGACTCTCCAGTCCAGCAGACAGAAGCTTCACTCCTGAATCCTGCAGCTTGTTTCCTCTCAGGTCCAGGTGTTTCAGGTGGGAGGGGTTGGACTTCAGAGCTGAGGCAACGACTTCACAGTGAGTCTCTGACAGTCGACAACCACCAAGTCTGTGATTAGAGAAAATATAAAATGTGTTAGAGTAAAAATACACAACATACAAAACATGTGGTCATGTGATCAACATCTGCTCTTCACATTCGTGGTTCATTTCATCTTATTGTGTTTGACATGAAACAATAATTCTCTCTCTCTCTCTCAGACCTGCAGATTTTTAACGTGAGTCTTTGTTTTACTTTAATCTCACAGATGAAAGGCGGGAAAATGGTTTTACATTTAGGTTCCATAGTGTCCACAGTGTGAGTGTGATTGATCCACAGAGTCAGAGTCAGAGTTTCAGACGTGCATGACAGACGGCCACAGAGCTGCTGTTGTCACATGATGTCATCATTGACCTTTGGTGTGTATAAGAAGACTACTCTCCTCTACAGCAACAAGAGAGAAACACCTGAGAGTTTCTGTCTCATTTAACACAATATATGGAAACACTTTAAAGGACCAGAGTGGAGGATTTAGGAGGACCTGTTCACACAAATGGAATATAATATTCATAAGCACCTTTTCATTAGTATATAATCACCTGACACGTCTCCTTTCACAGAGCCTGCCATGTTGCAGCGCCATGTTTCTACAGTAGCCCAGAGCGGACAAACTAAACACTGGCTGTAGAGAGGGCTTTAGTGTTTTTATGTTACCTGAAGGCCACCATAGCTTCTCCTACACACTTGGAACAGGAGGGGGGGGGGTGGGGGGTATTCAGGTGGTTGCAGTCTGCAACGTCACCACTAGATGGCACTAAATCCTACACACTGGTCCTTTAAAGAAAGACCATGAAAAACTTACAGAAGGAAATAAAACAACTTCACTCTTCAAAATGAAAAGTTGACTTCATCAGCACCAACTCCTGCTCTGATGTGACCACTAGCTTCTTGTAGCTCATGCTAATGTTAGCAAACTTTAAAAGCTAATGTTGACATTACTGAGTCACTTCACTAGTTTGATGACTTTTCTCTGTTTGTGAAGCTGTGACATCATGTTTTAGCATTAACCATTATCACATTAGTGCTTGTTGTCACCACAGTGGCTGCTGTTCACAAAAACTCACCAACTCACTTCAATGTAGAGAATTCAAAATGTAAAGTAGCACCTTTAATCTGAGCGGAGGTCTGGTGAGTTCACGTCTTTCTGACTCCACACATTCACATTCTTTTACTTTTCAAACTTGTAGTTTTCAGACCCAACCCACGCTGACTCAAGTGACATCACTGGAGGACATTTATCAGCCTTCACACAGCTCCCTCTGGAGACACTAAAGGCTTTATACTGTTTCCTATATGCAGTCGTACTCCTCAACACCTGGAAACACCTGGAGACACACTGAGGTGTGAGATCAGTGACTCCTGCTTTAATTAGTTTTTACTATTAATTACAACCAACTGAAATATTTACATTTTAGTGCTCACAACATTTAAAACATCTCCAGAAGAAGAAAAACACAACTGACCTCAAACTTGTGAAATGTGAAACAAAGAATAAAGACAATAATTTAATACTGTGGAAGTTTGAAGAACTAATTGATAATGTTAATGATCATGTCTGGACTCACTCAGCCTTCCTGCAGTTCCTCACAGCTGGGATCAGTCTCCGTCGTCCCTCCTCTGATGTGTTGTAGTTCTCAAGGTCCAACTCATCCAGAACCTCCTCTGACATCTGCAGCATGTAGGCCAGAGCTGAGCAGTGGATCTCAGAGAGTCTCTTCTCTGATCTGTTCTCTGACTTCAGGAACTCTTGGATCTCCTGATGAACTGAGTGATCCTTCATCTCCATCAGACAGTGGAAGATGTTGATGCTTCTGTCAGGAGAGATATCATCTCTGTTCATCTCCTTCAGGTTGTTGATGGCTCTCTGGATGGTTTCTGGACTGTTCTCTGTCTGACCCAGCAGACCTCCTAAGAGTCTCTGGTTGGACTCCAGAGAGAGGCCATGAAGGAAGCGGACAAACAGGTCCAGGTGACCGTTTCTACTTTGGAGGGATTTCTCCATGGCTCTCCTCAGGAAGACATTGAGCGGTGGATCACTGCTCTTATTGATTGCAACAAACTTAGAAATCTTCTTAAGGAAAGTCGTTGGGTTTGAGTCTCTCTGTTTGGAGTCTCTCTGTTTGGAGTCTTCTCCCAGGAAGTTCTCCAGGACCTCTGTCTTCCTGTTGGTGTAACAGTGGAACATGTAGACTGCAGCCAGAAACTCCTGAACGCTCAGATGAACAAAGCAGTAGACTGTTTTCTGGAAGATCACACTCTCTCTTCTGAAGATCTCAGTACAAAGTCCTGAGTACACCGAGGCCTCTGTGACATCAAGACCACACTGCTCCAGGTCTTCTTGGTAGAACATGATGTTTCCTTTCTCCAGATGTTCAAACGCCAGCCTCCCCAGCTTCAGAAGAACTTCCCCGTCAGCCTCCGTCAGCTCCTGTGGACTCGTCTCACGTCCCTCATGGTACTTGTTGTTCTTCCTCTGTGTCTGAACCAGCAGGAAGTGTGAGAACAGGTCAGTCAGGGTCTGGGGCAGCTCTCCTCTCTGGTCTGTGGTCAACATGTGCTCCAGAACTGTAGCAGTGATCCAGCAGAAGACTGGGACTTGACACATGATGTGGAGGCTCCTGGACGTCTTGATGTGTGAGATGATTCTGCTGGACAGCTCTTCATCACTGGATCTCCTCCTGAAGTACTCCTCCTTCTGGGCGTCAGTGAAGCCTCGTACTTCTGTTACCCTGTCCACACATGTAGGAGGGATCTGATTGGCCGCCGCAGGTCTGGAAGTTATCCAGACGAGAGCCGAGGGAAGCAGATTCCCCCTGATGAGGTTCTTCAGCAGCTCGTTGACTGTTATTCTACATTTCTGTTCTTGACAACAAACCTCATGAAAAGACCCAAATCAACAGAGTGTGTCTCTCAACACTTCCTGTCTGTGTCTCTCAGCTCGGAGCTCATTGGTTCCTACTGAAGACGTAAAGCTTTAAAAACACCTCACAGATATATACTTTCATTTTTTAAAACAGTCTCTTACTGTGAGTCTGAGGGTCCAGGTTCATCACTGAAGTCT